GTTTCGTCTCTCCTCCAAGAGACTTCTTCAGTCTGATGAGTTTCAGGTGAACTCAGCCTTATAAGCACTGCCTCCACCTGGACAAACAGGTTAGTCACATGCAAAAGAGGGCCATCGCCTAACAATAGGCTTGATTAGCTCTATTGTTCATAGAGGGTCATGTGACCCATCACCTGACTTATTGGTTTGGATGCTGTGGTTCTTTGGTGTTGTGTCATGTGTATGTAGTGAATGCAAGCGGGGCTCAAAGTCCCCTTGTTTTTGTTTTTTCTCTCTTTGTGTTGGTATCGTTGGGGCCCTGATTCACACCTTTTGCTCACAGGGGGCGGAGTCATACTTGCAATGACAGCGTTGTAGGAGGAGGACAACCGGACACGAAGGCCTCCACCTCTGTTTAATGGTGGACGGTTTTTCTTCACAAAGATGGCTTCTTTTACTCCTCCCTCAAACCAAAGTTCCTCTCTATCAAGGATGAGAACATCTTCATCCCTGAATGAGTGACCGCTGGCCTGTAGATGAGTGTAAACTGTAGAGTCCTGGCCTGTAGATGAGTGTAAACTGCAGAGTGCTGACCTGTAGATGAGTGTAAACTGCAGAGTCCTGACCCGTAGATGAGTGTAAACTGCAGAGTGCTGACCTGTATATGAGTGTAAACTGCAGAGTCCTGACCCGATGAAGTAGCTCGTCTGTGCTGGCTCATTCTTTTGAACAGTGGCTGTTTTGTTTCTCCAATGTATAACTGATCACAGTCCTCCCGACACTTAACAGCATACACTATATTACTCTGTTTTGCCGGGGAACCGGATCTTTGGGGTGAACTAATTTTTGTCGTAACGTGTTTTGGGGTTTGAAAGCCACTGGGACGTCATGTTTAGAGAAGAAACATCTCAGTTTCTCTGAAACTCCCGCCACATATGGAATGACGACTGGTTTGGGTCTGGGTTTAGGGTCTTCATTTTCAGCTGGTTGTTGGCTGGAATCCTGTTTGGGTTTCTTGTCTGCTTTCAGAAAAGCCCAGTCAGGATAACCGCACTGCTCCAGGGCCTGTCTTGTGTGTAGGGCTGCCACAAATGATTATTTTTATAATTGATTAATCATCGATTATTTTTTCGATTAGTCGAGTAATCGGATCATACGTTAATTGAATATAAAACATACAGCTTATCGTGCCAGGATGCAGCTGCTATTATATAACCATGGTTAGATTTTAGCTATATGCTAACTAAAAATAATTGCTGTGGAAGGTAAGTTCTGCTCTGCAGATATTACACAGGTTTCTCTTTCATTTTCTTAAAATGATCCCACACTTTGAGCTCTGTTGTCAGGTAGCCATGATACCAGAGCCTGTCTGTATAATGTCTTGTGACGTCCACGGCCTACCCCAGTTACCACTACTGTGCATGTGTGTCAAGGACAGAAAGGCAGATGTGGCAGTGGAAGTTGTCAAAGCAGTTTGGAGAGAAAAACAAAGAAAAGAACAAAAAAACGATTAATCGATTATTAAATTAGTCATCGATTATTTTAATAATCGATTAGTCGTCGATTAATCGACTAATCGTGGCAGCCCTACTTGTGTGCAACTTCTCTTACTCCCTGGCTTTGTGGGGACACTGTCTGCTCTGTGGTACAGAGTTCTGATGACTCCTAACTTGTGTTCCAGTGGGTGATGGGAATCAAAACGCAAATACTGGTCTGTATGGGTAGGTTTGCGATACATGTCAGTTTCTAACCGTCCTCCATCCGAAACTGAGACCTCACAGTCCAGGAACGCCAACCTGCCATCTTTTACATCCTCTCTTGCTTTTAAACCTGAAACTCCTCAGACTGAAGAAGTCTCTTGGACGAGAGACGAAACGTTTCACTAAAGAAGAACCCGTCCAGATGACCTACTGATTTTTTCTTTTTGATTGGATTATTGGATTTTTGTAAATAAATAAGTGCAGGTGTAGAGTCTCAGTCATGCAGGTCACATCAAATTAACAAATAAAATAAATTTAAAAAAAAAACAAAGCAGCTACACTCCTGTTTTAATTGTAGCTGAGCTTATTTGTGATGCTGCAGGCACAGATTTCCACTTTCCCTCCTCCAGAATCTTCCTTACGTTAAACCCACCCCAGGAAGCGTCTCTTCCTCGCCGGCGGCAGAAATTAGCCGAGCACCGGTGGGAAAAAGGGGAGCTGTTGTGACGATATGAGCGCAGCGAGGCAGCGGCGCAGCATCAAAAGGCCCAAAACAATCGAGCTCTGAATTATTCACTTGACCTCTCGGGCCACAAAAGCCACTTCTCTTCTCATCTTACTCAATAAAACGCAGACATTTTGATTGACCCCTAAACTTAACAATCCTCTGAGCGCAGCGCTGGAAACACGTTTTAAAGCCGCCTGTCAGCGACGCCAACAAGATGCTGTTGGAGAAATCACAGAAACTCTTGCTTCGTGTTTTAAACGTGGATTTTTACAACTTTTCTTTCAAAATAACTGAACAAATGAACAAAGTGTGTCTCCGTTGTCACATTTTGTGGAAGAGTCTTGCGACCGGAACCAGGCTGGGAGGTGAACCTGCGAGGCGACAACTCTAACCTCTGCACAACCATGCTACACAATATATATATAAATCAGATTTTTAAGGTTGAGGATTAAAAAAGCACAAATAATAAATCAGGTTAAATATGCTAACTGTAATGTCAAGAAAACCATTAAAAAATTATAAAGTAGAAAAAAATGCTCAAAATATTTATCTAATTTTCTTTAAATAATTTTTAAAATCATTTTAGGTGTTTGTTTACTTTTGGAAACAGTTTAAGTGACTAAAAACGGGTCAATAATGCTAATATGAAATTATTTGATAAACAGTTTTTATGATTAGACTTTGGTAAAGTATGTCAAAAACTCTCTTCGTTGACGCTGAGTGCGTACCTGCATTCTACATTTTTATGTACGCATTTAAAAAACAAGTTTGATTTCATAGTTTGCGAATCGCAGCCAAGAGAATCATTAAAAGACCTTCAGAAAGCCTTGAAATATCATTTAAAACCACTTCTTCAAAACCAAAGTGGTGATTAGAAGTAGGCGTGCAACGATACAGAAAATTCTTCAGTTCGATACTTTAGTCTCACAGTTTGTTTTTTTGATATAAAAAAGAGAAATTCCCACGCTCTTAGTAACTTGTAAATTATTGAAATTAATTCAGAATATTTGTTTAACCACAAAAGTCCATTTTTAAAAATTAAATGTTGCAGAAACAGCAGGTTTCTCAGTGGATCTGTGCTCAACTATGCAGCCTAGGTGGAGTAGTCGAACACAGATCCACTGATCCTTCAACACAGAGCATCTTCAGAAGAAAAGTTCATAAAATAAATGTTAAAAATCTGTATTGTTTCATACATGGTGTGTATTGTTCCATACATGGTGTGTATTGTTCCATACATGGTGTGTATTGTTCCATACATGGTGTGTATTGTTCCATACATGGTGTGTATTGTTCCATACTTGGTGTGTATTGTTCCATTCATAGTGTGTATTGAACGGTTCGATACAGTCCGTGTATTGTTGCAACTCTAAGTAAGACATAATTAAAAGAGCATCAAGACTTTAAAGGAGTGTTTTCTGTGCAAGCCCAGTCTTGATAACCCGGCTTGCTGTCAGAACCTGCAGCAGATCTGCAGAGCAGCAGGATGTGAGCCAGATCCTGAAAGAAACGATTCAGGCGTCTCAAACTGCAAACCGTGAAACTTAAAACGAGTTATGGTGAAGTTGGACTCGGTTCGATCTGGTCCGGTCCATCCAAACATCACAAACAGAACACCCAGCGTCAAAAACTCCTCCCAACCCATTCCACCAGTTTCTGCTTGAGAACCATGGCCCTGGACTAACCAGATCCAGGAACTGATATCGCATCAAAACGAGTCGGGTGTGATGGATCTTAGGATCAGGATCGGGACTCATCCCTTTGGAGGGTGACCGGACTGGACCTGACATGTCCCACTGAGGAGGTCCCGGGTCCCCCAAGAGGAGCTAATGAGTGAGGAGAGGGAGGTCTTGGTTTTTCTCCTGACCCGGCTAAGAATAAATGATAAAGGGTGGAGATTTCTGAAATGCGGGTAGGCACTCAACGTAAACAAAGCAGTTTTATCATGAATGCATCAAAAATCATCAGACTGCTCTTATTTTCAGTCACTTTGGTTGTTTACAAGTAAACAAAGTAACGTTTGTTGACAAATTTAGGGACCATCTGTTGGTTTTGTTTCTTACTTTCAGGACATTAGAGAGAGTTTAACCCAGGGGTGTCACTAGGTTTTAAGGACAAGGGGGGCTTCGTCCCCAGGACACACACACACACATATTTATACACTCTATACGAACAAGTGGAAGGATTGGATAACGACACACCAAAGAGGATCTCTACCTTACACTATAAATTAAAGGGAAACTGACAGATTTATGATAATATATTTTAGTTAATAATGAAATATTAAATGGTTATTTATTCTGACCACATCATATTGATTTTTTGTAAAAAAAAAATTAAAACAATTTTTTACACCAAAATAATTTAGGGGGGCTTTAAATTATTTTAGCGGGGCTGGAGCCCCCCCTAAAATAGGCCTATTGACGCCACTGATTTAACCTGAGAGTTCAGGAGAAGAAGAAACAGGAAAACACGTTTCTCGTGTCAAAACCTCCCAGAAAACTCAAAATAAAGCAGCTGTTGTGGAGAGGGGACCCCTCCTGTTTGCGTTTTAAAGCCCCCCTCCCAAAAAAGTCTTGAGCTGAGGTTTTCCCTCTAAAAGCAGCCTGATCCTCCCCTCTGACTTCAGCTTCCTCTGGAGGGCAAAACAGGCGAGGAAAGGAAGAAAGGGCTTTATGTTTTCTTTAAAGCTCCCCTCCTCCTCCTTTCCCCCTCCAAAAAAACCGATCCATCCCGGAGAGTCCCGAGCCTCCTCCCAGCCTCACCGTGACCCCCGTGAGCCCAGAAGAAGCAGGAAAAGTAACTTTTCTTACCTCCGCTCCGAACAGCTGCGGGGATTCCTGTGTGGAGTAAATGAGATTAAACTCTCCAAAAGCCAGAGGAAGAAAAAGTTCCTCCTGCTCCTCTCGTCGCTCCTGCTTCTCTCCTCCCTCTCTCCTCCGCGCGCCTCCACCCCACTCCCCTGTGAAGTGCCCGCTGCGCGCGCGCGCGGCGGAACAAGGAAGCCCGCAGACTGAGGAGGTCACGTGACGTCGAGCTTTAATTAAAGATGTTTGGGATTGTTCTGACCTCTAGCTGACAAACCGTGAAACTTGACAACTTTTACTGTTAAAACCCAAATTATCAAGCGATACAAGATTGTTA